GGGGTGGTTGGGCTTTGGACGCCTCTTGTCACCTAAAAAAAAACCAAAAAAAGTTAAATTGCATAGGAATAGAAATTGGCGTTTCGGTTTTGGTTTTTTTTTTTGTTGTTTTTTTGGGGTGGGGGGGGAGGTTTTTTTGTGTGTTTTGCTACGTTTTTTTCTTCTTGTCCAAATTCTACTTGCCCACTGATTTATAGTAAGATGGGCAGGCCAGTATTGTCAAATGAAGGGATATCCACCCTGATTTTATTCCCTGTAGGATGGGCAGGCCAGTACTGTCAAACACAGGGATATTGTTATGAATGAAATTAGACAACTAGGTCTATAGAGTTAACAGAAATTTAATTGAAAATAAAAACAATTCAGTGAATTGAATAGCAATTTGGTATAAAATAATACAATTTAGTGAATGTATTCAAGTATATATATGTATATATACATGTATGTAATTTTCCAGTAATTAAACATGATTAAAACATAAGCAAAACTGACCAGGGTACGGAGAGGGCTTCTCACCCTTCCTCACGTACAAAACAAAGCAATTCAAATTAAACTTATATACTATGTGCTTATACATATTAATTTATGTTTCCTATAAGTTTCCTCCCACTTTAAATTCTTAAATTCTACGTCACTATACTTCATAGCATATATGCTTCACTTGTTGTTAGGGGTCTTCAGTCTTCTTTTGGTGGTCTTTGGACGAAGGTTTACACTCATCCTCGTTGTCCTCTGGATGGCCTCACAGGTTGTGTGTGTGTACTAAGTGTTGTGTTATGTAAGTAAGCATTATGTTCCAATAATTAGCCTTGCATTTAATAGATAAAACCATAATTTCAGACCCTATGCTTGAAGTTGTTCCAACTTTGTCCATCTCAAGGTCGATTCTGTCTGGAGACATTACTTATCTTAAAACTACATCCTGTATCCTATTTTTAACATGTAACATCTGCAAAGGAGTCCATCTGCCTTGTAACACTTAATTCCCTTTATTGCTTTCTAATAATAACTTTCCAAATAGTTACAATTTAGTTAGCACGAATCATCTCCATTTATCACAGATATCCATCCTGATTTTATTCTCAGAAAAACAGGCAGGCCAGTAGTGTCAAATGCAGGGATACCCATCCTGATTTTATTCCCTGTCGGATGGACAGGCCAGGAGTGTCAAACACAGGGATATCCATCCTGCTATCCATCCTGATTTTATTTTATCCATCTTTATTTTATTTTAGGAAAATGAGCGGGCCAGGAGTGTCAAACACAGGGATGTCCATCCTGATGCCTTCCCTCACTGAGCACTTAAGCTCAGTTTGGCATCTTGAGTGCTGAGCTCTTGGCAGGTGTTTCTATACTGATGATTAATTTCAGCAGAGTAGCCATCATGACAGGCCATGCAAAATAAATGCTACAGAATCACAGCCCTGCTAATTTGCTGCAATTCATGGAGAAAAGCCAGCATACAGCATTTGCTGACAAGATTTCTCTCTCCAATTGATTGCAGTTAACATCATGCTTCCCTTAGGCAGATGAGGATTATAGAGCTCTGCCTTCAAGAAGGAAGGCATTTGCTAATTGCATTCATTAATTACATGGACTCTGATGAATGGCATTCTCCAGTGTGGAAAAATGTAAAATATTTGATTGTGAGTATTTATGTGTAATAAAAACGTAAAGCCTTTAGCCAATGATTTAAACAAAGATTTAGTGGGACTATCAGCCTGAATAGCAAAGTGTGAAGTTCACGTCTTAACATTTTAGTAAGTGATGAAACTAAAGCCAGTACTTACAGCAGAGGCCAGCACACAACAAAAATACCGCTGAACACATATGATTTTTTTTATCTATTCAGACAAATGTAGAAAAACTGATCTAACGAATTACAAAGCGTTAAGACTTTTTCACTGTTTGCTTCCTGTTGTCCCTTTGTCTAGTTTTAAGGACAACCTGCAATAGCTATTAGATGAAGTTGTCCATGATTCTTCTGCTGTGAAAAATTGTTGGGGCTGGAATGAAAGTTTTATTCATGCATCATTCTGCTGGTTTGTGAAAACCACTGCAGAAGAAAGAAAACAATTGCAAAACAATGAGTTCAGTTTCTTGTTTGTTTGTACTTGCAGTCTTGCTCTTGTGGAAGCACAGGCCTGAAATGCTTCTCTGGTCATCAGTTTCAGGGGAGGCTCAAAAGCTGTGCCCTGAAGCAAGGAAGTCTGAGTTATTGAAAAGAAATTAGAGAGCAAGGTGAGGAAGGAAAAAGGATATGAAAATACTAAAGCATGGGTGAAGGAGATCTAAGCAGGAAGACTGGAAAACATTTCCTCTCCCTTCAGGTCACTTCCTGATGCTTGTACTCCCAGGATCAGCATAGGAAAGGCCCCAGGAGCAAGAGAAGGCAGGTGAGGAAAGTTTGGTGACTAGGTGCTGAGAGGCTCCTCCTTTGCCTATCAGTGCAGTGCTGTGCCTCTCTACTCTCCAGTCTCTTGATTCTTAAACTAATCTAAACTCTGACATACCAGTCTTTCATTCTCCTTCAATGTTTGTGTGAAGCGTACTACACACCTTGAGTGGTGTGACAAGGCTGTCCAGTCTGAATGTATCACCATCTAAAAACTTCATTTAAATGTGTTGGATTCAGTTTCTCTCTTCAGACAGCTTGGAGCATGTTTATACAGTTTATCAGAGTGGGCTATAAAGATGTTTTCTTCTACAGCTGACAGCATCCACATGAGACTATTGCACCACAAGACGAACCAATCCTTTAAAATACAGACTGAAATGCAATGAATTAGGACTACTATGATTAACATCAGTTTTGTTTTGTTTTTTTTCTATTTTTGTCCATTTTTGAGCTGGCAGATTGATAAATTTTAGGGAGAGGAAATCCTTTAATTGCTTGCCTTTAAAAAGATGCTTTTGTATGAAAGACTCATCACTATTATAAAACCTGTAATTAATGGTGTCTCTTCAAACAACCTACTGATAACCATTGCTATGTCCACAGGCCCTGCAAATGCCAGTCTTCCTGCAAAATCTGAAGATTCAGTGGAAGAACCTTAAATGGGAGTAGATTGCTGTGTGTATATCTTCAGGGCAGAGGGTTGTTAAAAGGTTGCACATTTAATTTTTATCTCTATCAGCTGTCCCACTAACTGGTTGTTTCTCAGTGGATAAGTTTAGGGTACTCTTCTGTATGGGTCTCTTGCTAGCTTCTTCCTCGAATACCCCTTCTTTCAGACTTAAGGGGCAGGGGCAAGGCACAAGAGCATAGGGACTTCCTCTTCTTAAAGTCCCTGGTGGTACAAAGCCTTGAAGTCACTGAAGAAACATCACTTATGTAGCATTTTTCTCCTTTCAGGAATTGTCATCCATAACTATGAAAAACAACATCCTGTGAGTTTGTTTCAAGCTCTGTGCCTCATCACTTCCTTCAGATAAGCTGTGCTCCAGTCTCTCCTGGGGAAGGCTGGTGTCCTTGGGGAAGCATGGCATTCCGTGGCTGGAAGTGGCTCCTCCTTTTGGGCAGGCAGAACACTCTTGCAAAGGTGTGGAGAAGCAGGAGGGGAGGCCCCTCTCTGTGCTGGAAGCGCTGCTGCCATTGGAGCACAGGCAAGTCTCTGAACCCTGAGGTGAGGGCTTTTTTGGAGGAGAACACCGAGGTCACCAACAGCGGGCACCTCACACCAGAGATCCGGCTGCGCCTCCTCACCCCTCGCTGCAGGTTCTGGAGAGAAAAGCCTGACCTGTGGCCTTATGGGGACCCCTTCTGGGCAATTTACTGGCCAGGAGGCCAAGCCCTCTCCAGGTATGCAGCACAATGCACAACAGCCGATAAGTCCAGGATGTCAGACCTGGCTCTGTTTGTAGCGATTCCTAGTGATGTGTGTTTGCCTATTGTGGGTGCATTATCCATCCTCCTCTCTGCTTACTCTGGAGTGTCCCAATCTCTGCTGCCTGGCAGCGAGTTCCAGCACCTGCTGTGTAAAATAACTCGTGTCTTTGAAGTAGAAATTAGTTATATTCAGTGGCTATGCATGTGCTGACAACAGGGCTGAATTTGGATCCATGGAAGGGCTGTGAAGTTGCCATCAAAATGTAGTGAGGTGTTTGGAGTGATAGAATTAAACAAGAGGATTGCTCTATTGTCATAACTTGTGTGGGTTTTTTTGTGGAGACAGACAGGAGTGTGGATGTGCTTCTGGTTTGTTGAGAAAAGTAGTTTAATGCTGATGCACTTGAGCCTGAATAACTCTCCTCATCTAGGATTTCAGCAGCCTTATTTTTGCAACTTACTGTGGCTTTTAGTCACACCAGAAGCCACATTTTGATTTTGTTTGTCAAAATGTCTTTAATGTTCTTGATTCCCAAGAACTACAGTTCTTTTATTTTGTAAAATCTCTCACTTAAACAGCAGGAAAAAAAAAAATCTTAATTTTTACAGCAGAGAACAAGCTGTCAGAGAGTCCCCACGTAGATGAAAGGGAAGAATCTGAATTGGGGCGTTACTGTTTTTCTGCAAGAAAGCATAAATAAGAAGGCAGTTTTGACCAGGTAAAAGATGAGTCTTACTGTTAAATTATGAGTTGATTAGCCTGCCACGTAGATGAACTAGAGTGCTCCTAAACATGGGGTATGTAAAATAGATTAACTAATCTCTTCATTTTGTTATCATATGATTTGTATGCTCAGATATTTGGATAGCAGTAATAATTATCTGGCATTTCATTGCTTTATTGTCTTACTGTTTATGCACTGATTTGATGTATTAAGAAATGTCAGAAATCAGTTGCATAATTTGGAAGAGTAAAAAGGGAGCACAAAAACATATGGTTGCCTCCATAACTGTCCTCCTTTCACAGCTGGTGTTTCCACAGCATCAGGAGTCTCCTGTTTCAAGCTGCTTACTCTTGGTGTAATCCAAGATTCCTCATTACCCCAGGAGGGCAGAGACACTGTGTGCACTGTGCCAGGGGATACAGCAGCATCCAGCTGTTCTGAGTCACCACAATCAGCAACAGTAACTCAGTAACCACTCAGCCGGAAACAAGGGCCACATCATGCCCTACACAAACTACTAATGGAAACCCAAACCCAAGATGAACCCCTAGAAAGGAGAAACACAGCACTTCTATGGAGATTCCATCCCTGTCCTTGGTCCTGGTGGTAAACTAGGGGCTGTCCTTAGGGGAGTGCTGCTAAACATCTGAGCTGCTGAGCCTCAACACAAATGTCCTGCACTTGACAAGCTTACCAGGCCTCTTGGTGCCATTCCAGGCCCAGACATTTCCATCCATTTGTTCCCAATGTATACCAGTCTCCATATTTCTGTTACAGTTATAGACTGGAATCCCCCTGCAAAAGCTGTGCTTACTTGTAGCCCTCTGTGAAGAGTCAGCTATCACTCTCCCTATCAGCAGATAACACAAATGTAGAATCCTTTCTACTTCAAAAGAAGTTCTGGAAATTGGCAGTAAAATTATGGCAGTTTGCAGTAATTCATTTCACCCAGGGCTCTTCTCCCTGACACTTGTGGCTTTCCCCTTTGCAGCCAATTGAATTTCAAGGCAGTTGTTAAAGTTCTGAAATCTCTGCAATGGTTATAATATGATTCATAGTATTTAACAATAACTGCTACTTGCCTTCTGTCAGTTCTCCACTTCCAGCCTAAAGGTTTTTCAGGATTTCTCTTGGCAGGTGTCAGCAATTAGACGAAGATACACTTTCTGATCACCACAGCTCTATTCTTTTTCTTGATGCTACTCAGGAGCAACACTAAGCAGTCTCAAAGCATTTGCACCTCTATCTGCATGGCTCAGGAAAAGAAAGAGGAGAAATTCCTCTTCTTTGAAGCAGTCGCATAAGCACTGTTTCAGATTGATGGGTGGGCACCATGTTCACTGTGATTACATCATGTTTGTTCAGTCAGATTGCTCTTAATTTCCACAAATCCTTTACTATTTCTTGTGCATTCTGATGAATTCTAGTTACCTAGAAGTGTCTTTCTTACCAGTTTGTGTCTACTTAACAGAAAAGCTCACCTGTCAGAGAAGGAGCTGAATAACAGAAAATGTTGCTTACTTGGCTGAATTTATTTTTGTTTGTGGGTGGGAGAGGAGTAAGGGAGAAAAATGATGGTTCTTGATTTTTCTATCATCCGAGACAAATAAGGAGTTTCGTGGCAGCTGCACATGTAGAATAGTGTTAAGGTACCACACTTCATTACATGTTTGGCAAGAAACTTATGCAGTGTAATGTAAACCTGAGAAATTTGCATGATCTGGTTCACTGCTTTAACAGCTTTTCTTTTTCAGGTACATTTTAGATAATCCAAGTGTGGTTAAAGGGCGATCAGTTCTGGATCTTGGAAGTGGATGTGGAGCAACAGCAATAGCTGCTGTGATGAGTGGTGCATCCCACGTCCTTGCCAATGACATTGACCCTAGTAAGGCTTTTTTTCATCTCTGTGTAAAGATACTTACTCATTTTTAAAGCACCTTTAACACAGACTTTTCTTCACTCCATTTGGGAGAAATTCAAGTTCCAAACAGAATCCTAAGAATGCTAAAAAGAGGAATGGGTTTTGCCAGTATTGGAAGCTGGGCTGTACCAGCCTTTCTTGGCCCAGGTCTATCTCCATAGCTACTTAGAACAAACAGGAACGTTTCTGGTTTGGATGAGAGCTCCAAGCTCAAGGAGCAAGCTGGCTTCTCTGTAGGACAATGGCATTTTCCTGTACATCAGGGCCTAGATTTTGCCTTTTTCCTCTAGAATTTGTCTTTCCATAATTGACTTATGAATACAGTTTGTTTGTAATTTAATTACTCATTAGTTAGGAAGTATATCCATAGATTAGGGCAGTTATTATATTCTACTTCAATTCCATGATTGGTTTCTATTGGTATCCATTCTAGGAATACTTCTTCCCTGTGTCATGGTGTAACAAGGATAAAATTTCATCACTTCATGCTAGATTTTGACTCATCATAAAAACTGTAGAAGCCCCCTAGACAGGATCAACAACAACATTTGAGAGATTAAATTGAAAGATGTCTCACAGAAATGTGTAAGGGGGCTGACTCCTAAAATGTAACTTTAGTTTTCCTATGACTTTTCTTCAGTTGCAGGAATGGCAATGATCTTGAACTGCGAACTGAACCACTTGAATCCCTTCCCCATCACCATTAAGAACATCATCAATTCAGAGGCTGGCAACTGGGACCTCATAGTTCTAGGAGATATGTTTTATGACGAACAACTTGCTGATGGTCTGCACCACTGGCTGCAGAAGTGCATCAGGATTCACCAGACTGAAGTGCTGATTGGTGACCCTGGCAGGCATCAGTTTCTAAGCCACAGCATTCACAGCCAGCTGCACAAAGTTATAGAATATTCACTGCCTGAGTATACGAGACAAGAAAATTACGGGCTAACATCAAGTATCGTCTGGAGTTATCAGCCCTCAAACGGCTTAGACGACTCTTGAAGCTGCCTTTCTATGGGATTTTGTCTCACTTGGTTGGCTTTTTGCAGTTATATAAAATGAAAATGGAATTAAACAGAGAAATTATCTGTTAAAGTAAAGCAGCTTACTGTACCTCCACTGGACTGATTTCAATCATGCTGAGGCTTTTGCTCAATTTGAGGTAAAAGCTACATGCAAACTGTGTTCAAAGGGGCCTGCACTGAAGTGCAGATCTACAAACAACTTACATGTAGGAGTTTGCATGCTTGATGTTTCCCATGTATATTTGTGTCTTGCTGACATTCCTGTGAAATGTTTTGGATGTCCAGCATAAGACTGTGGGGAGAGGGCTGTGGCTGAAGGACTACTCCACTGCTTCCACAGGCTTTTGCAGCTTATTTATAGAAAATTTCTAAATATAGAAAATTATTGCTGCCCTCCATAAAATTCTCCACTAGATTATTAGCTCATAATATGCTCAACTTGAAGTGCCTTGGTTTTTTTTTTGGGTATCTCCTCTGAATGTCAAAGTAACTAAATTGAATCCCCCCCCCTTTCCCTCTATAATAAAAGTTTGCTCTTCCTTGAAACTGCCACAGTGATTGTGTAGGAGTTGCACCCAAATCTAAACTCTGCTTCTTGACTACCAGCCAGTGTAAAAGCTTTAATAAATGGAAAGTGAATAAATAGTACCAGCTATGGGGTAACTTCATCCCCCTGAGAGTAGGGTCAAGTGATCAACATTCCCTACATTACCCTTTGCAAGGGCAAACCAGGCAATGTCACCTTGGGAAGCTGCTGAGGGATGAAATCTATTTCTGTGACAAACAGAGGGTAACTAAATAAAAACAGGGAATAAAAGCCTGATATAATTATTTTGCTCTTCTCTTGAGGAGATGCTGGACAAACTCCAGGATCATCCTCAGTTTTATCTGCCAACTAAGAACCAGTTTCATCTGCCAAACATGATAAAAAAAATATCTGATCCTCAGGTAAGATGTTGTAACTGTAGCCATTTGAAGAATTAGCCAGTCTCAGAGCAGTCTTACAGAAGTGTCAACTTTAGCAGTCAATTATTGAACAAGCAGAGAGGGGGAGCTAACAACTGCACCATAGAACACAGTGCACCTACAACTCTCCCAATACCAGCTGCTGTGGTGGAAGCTTACAAATGTGAAAGAGTGTGTGGCACTCACTCAGAAAATCATGGTATCCATGAAGTAGAAGGTTTAGGAGCACAGTCAGATGTACATGGTTCTATAATCCAACAAGTTTTCAGAACTCTCCAAACAGCCAACTTCTAAACTTTAATCTTCAGAACAATATGTGAATATTCTGCAAGGCTCACAACAATAACAATATCCAAACAATAGAGAACATGAAGTGGTAAGCACATGAGGTTCTCCCACTTCACCCAGTGTCTGTAAACATTTGTTGAAAATTACTATGAACCAAAAAACATTCCAGTAGAGTTAAGCAAATACTAAACACATAAAGGCAGACTCAAGCTCTAATGGTGAAAGATTTAAAATAACTTACATTAAACTTTCAAACCTAAAAATACAGTGTTACCTTGTTTACAGCTTTTTAAGCACAAGTTGAGGATGTACCACTAAGTTACACATTGACAAGAGGCTGTAGGGGAGGATGGTAAATCTACAGGCACGCTTAAGGACACAGTATAAGCTGCATCTGCCTTCAACATAACAAATCCAAGGTTATATCAGCAAGGAGAAAAAGGATAACTTTGACACCGAGGTTAGCATTAGCATTGCTTCACAGAGCTGCCTAAACAGCTACACAATTCAATATCAAATAAAGTGCAACACAGATTTGTCCAAGAGTTCAAAGGCCCTGACTGATGATTCCACAGGGCTTAACAATAAGCTAATCTTTAGAAAAAAAACCAAAAAAAACAAAGGGGAAATAAAACATGGTAATTAGGTTATTAGGTCTCTATCTGGCACAAGGATTTGCTGCAATGACAACTGTCAGATGCTTGTGGCTACTGTAGCAAAATCAACTTCTTGCACCAATGGTTTGTACTGGTGCAGTTACACCCGCAGGGATCATAGGAACACATCACTGAGCTGAGCCATGCAACAAGAATAAGGGATTTATGTGCTGCTCTTGGAAAAATATGCTTTTAGTTACACCTGAACAACTTTTCTAAATAGACTTGCACTTTCATAAACCATATAATCAAGAAGAACAAAGATGGTTGTCAAACATCATAATATTCTTTAATATTGGCAACAAAAAATACGTTCCATGCAATTAGACCTGCACTTTTAATAGATTAATACAAGACTGGTTTATTTCTGCAACACTTAGGTGTGGCTATAACAAGAGTTAAGTGGTAAACATGTTCCTTATGGTTGCCTAAACTCTTTGGGTTTCCAGATGTCATCAAATCCATGTTAGATCACCATAACTAAACCCTTCTACTTCCAGATCTAGAGGATGAACACAGTGTGTTCCATGCCCTTATAAAGCTAAAATGGCTTGCATTAAGGAGCTTAATGCAGAAATCATAGAATTCTCACTAGAGGGTATGCTGGTCCAAGAAAGCCAAGGAACATGACTGGTAATTGTGTTAAGAGCACTGCTCCATCATGTAATAAACTCATTCTACAATTCAAAAATTAATTTTTAATATGACTATACTTGAACAATAATTTTTTTTGTATTTTCACCTTTTGGGGGCCCTTGGATGTATAATGAACTGCATACAGCAGAACACATACTCTACCATCCTGTGATTTATGTCCCCAGACACTACATTTGGTCCTATTTCACTCACAGATACACTTATGAGTACCAATGTTTTGTTCCCTAAAAGGATTTTCCTGTAGAAACACAGGCAAAATACAGAGCAAATGGAATATTTTCCCATATATAAAATCCTTTTGGTCACAGCTACTACTCTGAAATTTGTAAAGTCACCATAACAGTTCCAAAGCAAGTTTATGTTTACACATTCACAGGCTGTAGTTTTGGATATGTAAAAATCCAGCAAGTATTTGATGGTAAATAAGAACAGAAATCTTCAGTATCAGTAACATCAGAAGAAAGGTGCCTATATTTTTTATTTCAGACCTAGCAGAAGTACATGGTGAAAGGAGAGTCTTTGTTACTATTGAAAGTACATTTGTACTGCTGTTAATGCCACCTCCATTCACCAGTTCTGTCTGTTGATTTTTGTTAAACTCCCAACTTTACAGACATTTCTGTGTGTCAATGTTATGTTTGGGCTCGGTACTTTTAGCTGCAAGTACCATCCCAGAATACAGAACTCCGAACACAGACTTACCTAAACTGGGTTTGTACAAATTGCTAAATTGCTAAAGGATACTAAGTAGCAGCCAAATCCAGCACTTCTTGAAGCCTGAGCAACGGCCCTGTAATATTAATTATAGTTTAACTTCCCTCTTAATGAAGTATGATCAATGCAAAGACAGACAGGACTCAAAGGAGATACAATGGGGAAGCCGAGGCTCACAGGCAAGGACTGGAATGGCAACGGAGCCCTCCAGTGGGAAGCAGGAGGGATGCAACCTGGTGGCACAAAAGTCACCAGCCAGCTCTCCAAGGTGCATGTTTGCTGAAGGAGCTCTCCCACCTGTAAACTTGACACTCACATGTACAGCATAAATCATCAGTAAACAGTCCAAGTCAGTTGCTTGATTTTGTTTGATATGATGAGTTGCTCTAAAGCATCTCGGGAACGATCTGAAAAAGAACAAAGGAATTTCTTGTTTTTCATTCAGATTATAAGGTGCTTGGAATAGATACACAACACAGTAAGGGAATTCTATATCTGTATTTATGCTTCTTTTGCTATCATCACACTTCAGATACATCTGTAGGAATCCAAATCCTCTTGGTTCTTTCTCCAACCACCTAACTGTAAAGCATCACCAACCAATGGAAGTTAAAACACCCATAGGCTGTCCTACTCCATTCCACAGTTTCTTGAATGGATGCTGTTCCACACTTTTGAGTCGGGGAACAGAGTCGGGGTTTAAGATGTTAGCATTTTTCTCAAGTCTTTGGGTCTCCATCAACATGCTGAGGGGGATTATAAAAAGGAAGAAAAAAATCCAGTTTCCAAAACAACAACAAAAAATTCTCTCTCTGAAGGCTGCTACATTTCAAAGCATAACTCTCACCTTGCTTTGAAAATCTCAGTGTATGATTATTTTATCTAGTAAGTTATTAATTTGTTTGGGATTACTTATGGAGTACAGTGTGCTTTTCAGAAAGCAAGAAGGTATGATCAGCATGTAATTATCTTCTTATGATTAGACCAACCTGTTATCAGTGGGCATCCATGGAACAGAAAAATGTGTATCTTGGGACAACAGGTAAGGACAGCTTCCACAGCCACGTCCGTCAGGTTCACACAGCGCTCCATGTGTATCTCCTGTTAGGAGAACAGGAATGACAACAGCCTGTCTGAGCACCCAGAGTTTCAGAGGCAAAGCTTTCCTTTGCCCAACCAGTTTCAAAGATCTTCAACCAGAAGGAATTATGACCTCTGTGCACTGACCTCATATGTGGTCCTGTACAGACCAGGAAAATACTGATCTAAGGAAAAATAAGACAGCTTTTCCGTAAAGGGTTTAAACTAAAAACATAAACCTGAGTTTTTCCAACACACACATACCATTCAAGACATCTGAGAAACTCTTCAATGAGATTCCATGGTGAGTCTCATCACTTTGACATTCTCATACCAATTGATTTTCCAGGAGAACAGAACCCAAACTAAATTCTGGTGTTTCCCAAAATTTCCCCAAATAACCTCTGCTGGAGTTTCTAGTATTTCTATTTATTTATTTTTAGTATTTCTATCTATTTATTTTTACATGGTTCCTAAAAGAAATCAAGTAACTTCTTCAAGATTAGATTAAACCTACTCTTTTCTTAATTTCTCTTCAGTTGTTCAACTACTGCCTCTTGTACATGCTAGGAAAACATGAAAAGCAGAATAAAGAAACAGATTATTACCAGCTTTTTTCCAGTCCTCTAAATTGCCTTACCTATCAATAAAAACAACATACAAGAAGAAATGCAGAAAAAGGACAATTTAATGAAATCTAGTGAAATTAGGATTTGGTAAAATATTTTGGAGATCATAGGATAAAAGTAAAAAAAGCATTGTCTTATTGGAAAGTTTTTCCAATTTATAAACTCCAAGGATCTTGAAAGATGTAAGAAATGAAAGTCAGTCATTATAATTTTAAATTGCAGGTATTTTCTTTTGTTCGTCCCTTTGTTATTAGGTTGAGTCAGTTACCTTTAAATTCTTCGAACATGTTCCACTCACTAGTGCTACAACACCATCATCTGTTACCTGGAGAAAAAAACCACAATGGATTAAAGCTCAATTTTTTCAAACACAGCTATTTGGATGCAAAAATCATATTAATTTATTCACTCCCTGCAGTGAGTGAATACACTTAACACTACAGTATTTTCTTCGCAACTAAACTTGTATAGAAAATTAGCCAAGCTGCGTTTTTTTCATTCTATTAAACACTGTTTCATTTTTCTGCTAAGTGATCCAGCCTGGCTTTCTGCAAGGATGTTTCCAAGTGTGTAACTGCTATTCTTGCAGCTTCCTTCTCTCATTTAACAGTGGATACACTAATACGGTCAGAGCACAGCACTTTTAATTTATAGGTTTAAAAAGCATTTCTGCTCTACCTAGACCAATTTGGGTTGGGGAAAAAAGTAAACATAGCAGAAAAGTATAAAAAAAAAAAAAGTGTAAACATGTAGTTACTCAAGAAGCTTTCACCTCATTTAAAATACACACAGGGAAGCAGCTATTGTCTATAAAGGAAGAGAATCAAGGAAATAAAAAAGCAATGAAGAAAATCTGGAGAAAAAAGACAGCAATAAATAAAAATTACCAAATGAAATATTAAGACTCTTTTGACACCCTACTTCTGGAAAAATTGAAAGAAGAATAGCATCTAAAATAAGAACCTCCTACATAATTTCCAGAACTGACATTTCATTGTGAACGCTCAGTTCTGGACTCACATTTAACATAATTACTCACCATCAGTGTCAATTGAATGCTACACTTACTGCAGAAAACCTTTCCCTCGCTTCATTATCTCACTGTAATTATGAAATATGTTACAGGATTGCTTTTGCAGCTCGTCTCCCCTTCTCAAGCTAAATGCTGTTGTTAAATCTTCTTCCCTGCCATTTCCAACATTTAAAATGTTGTTTTTTCAGTGTTGACTCTGTACCATAACTCTGACAAGCACAATCACTCTTAAATTATCATTTAATTACAGAGTGTTTACTTCTACTAGGGGCTTGTATTGTTTAACATCCTAGATTATTACCTACAGCAGTCTGTCCTAACTGCAAGCCGGCAATGATCTGTCCAAGATCCTACTTTCTTTAAACTGAATATTTTGTATTACTTTATCACTTAAAAAAAATAATTGTGCTAAATAAATATACTAAAAAAAACCCCAAACAACCTAGGCAGATTCTAACAAAGGTTTATCTTTGGTTCACTATACATGCTCTAATACCAAAATGTGTATTTTTCCAGTCACCAATAAGCAAAATATACCTTTCCTTTTCCTTAAAAGGCAAAAATTAGAAGTAAACTATGGTCTACAATCTTGTCAAGAGCAGAGCAAAAATGATCCACTTTGAACTTTATCATGACAATCTTAAAAAAGAAACAAACTAAAGCCAATTGGCCAATTGCCACTGTAGTTACCTGAGTAGATGAGAAGTCCACACTGTGAAGAAATTTGCAGTTTTCTCCTAGTGCCTGCAGAGATGCATCCATGATGCCCGAGCAGCTCCCCAAGTTCACTATTTGAAGGAATTGGCAGTTGAGTGCAAGAGCCAGAATTCCACTGTCTGTTATATCACAGCACCTTTTGAAAGACGCTTCACGCAGGTAAGGACAGGATAAGGCCAGTGCTATGACTCCTGCCAAAGAAACAACTTGAAAGAGTTATTTATTCTTTAACATAACCACCATGCTGAGTCCAAAGGATCTGGAACAAGTTTTGAGGAAGGAACAATTAAGATAAAGTGGAAATTTTTTTCCAATTTAACAAGAAAAATAAGCCAGAAATAAGATCCCAGTTATCTGTGCACAGATAACACACCTTCTGAAGTAATTCCAAATCTGTTCTCCTTGCAAGAATTTAAGTTGATTTTTTTCAGCTGCTTGCAGTTATAAAGCTGCAATAATGCATTATCTGAAATATCACAGTCTCGGAGGTCCAGAGACTCCACAGCAGGGTGCAATACCTGTAATGAAAACCCACCATTTCAGTCAAACTCTGCTCTGCCAACAAACATCTGCACTTTTATATAAAGTGCTTGTAATACTAGACATCACATAGAAGTTTGCAATAGAGGGTGGGGTTACAGTCCTAGGAACTAAAATCTAAAGAAAATCTGGTCTATATGTGCAACAGTTCAGCTCCTACAGCATGAACTGTTTCTGAGACATACAGAGCAGGAACACATTAATACTTAATGTGTAAGTAATGCTACTTAAACAATGGAAATACAATCTTGGTGATTCACTTGCTACGTGTGTACCCAGGACAACGCCCTCACACCTGTTAGCACACTTTCTGGGCAGAAATCTGCAGTGCAAAACAAAATACTGACTGTGATCAAAACTTCAACAGGTAAGCACAACAGGTAAGAGTGATATTTGGAAGGTATTTTCCCCCAAAGTATTTTTCTCACCCCCCACACACTCTTTTGCTCATAAACAAGCACTCTCATTACCATACCATGAAGAGGTACCAGATCCTCATTAAATGGGATCTTTCACTCCCCCAAGACCCAGATTGGAATTTTTGTGAAATCTTTCCCAAGAGAACATTTATGAAAGTTAGACCCAAAGCAGTGGAAGGCCTCTGATTTTAGTAACAGCCATATACTCCCTTCAGCTTGTTACTCCCTTAACTCCCAGGGATAGAAACATAAATTTCCATAAACTAGCAAAGATAACAGCACAGCTGACAGGCTTGTTAAAGGCCTACTCCTCCTGGTGTTCACTCTAATAAGGTACTACAAGAAAAACTGGCTGTTTTGCAAATATATAAGATTTTTATATAGACAAAGGGTTGTCTGGATGCAGCACACAAAAAAAAAGATATTTTAAAATACAGGCTTGTATTCTGTGGACACGTGTTGAATGGCTTTATAAAACTATCTAGTAAAGGGGATTTAGAATAAAGAGTTTGACATGTCTGTGAATGGCTGGTTCAAGCAAAAAGCAGAGCAAGGGGGAAAAAGACACATGATAACACAAATTTGGACAGAATAGGGAGGTAAGAGATTAAATAGAAGTTCACACAAAAGTACAGATTAACAGAATTTCATCTGAAACTTAACTTCAAGCAAAATTCTTAAAAAACACCCCAACCCTGAAAAACAGAGAAAAGATATGAAGGATGTGTATAAAAACAAATGGGAAACTGCTAGCAAAGAAAGCTAAGGTATAATACGAGCAAAGAAAATGATGACAACAGAGGATAGAATTGCAGGAACAGAGAAAGAAAAAACATGAAAAAAGAACCAGAGCAGAATTTTCCCAGAGTCACAAGGAAAATAGGCTCCAAGAGAAGGCACTCATCAACTGCTGAAAGATGACAAATACAGAGGAGACTTTAGAAAGAGACAGCAGAAAAGTCTGTAAATTAAGGTCTCAAGTTTATTTCCAGACTAAAATTAAATTTTGTGCATTCATACATACACAATCACATGGCTTTAATTATATATATATATATATATGTATGTATTATATTATATTATATATAATCATATAATCTCTTGGGATGTTTTGAAATTATCCCTTACTGAAAAGGTAGCCTAAACCAGATTTTGTCCAGGCAATTTTCCAAAAAGTAGATAAATTAATAAGAATTTGATTTTTACTCAAAGACTTACTTTGTGTAAACACAATTCTTTTTATCTAAAGCTAAAATATTTTGTTTGTAAGTTTTCCACAGTGCTTCTGCCTTTAGTCTTGGCTCCACTATCCGGACTCTGAGAAACTGATAATATTTGTCTCTTGAGTTACAGGTCAAAGCAGGAATGCACAGGGAGTCATTAATTTTCTGTTTCACCAAGGCCAACCTTTAGCTTCCCTCAATTCTCACACCTCCCTTTGAGGCTGAACAAGATAACCATAAACAGATAGCAAAACAAATGTGTCCCTGAATTTACAGCTGAAGAAATGACATTAACTGGTGTCTCATTGAAACACTGACACACATCAGTGTGCAAAAGGGATGGGAGAACTTGAACTACTGATTTCTAGCTCTGCCATCCTTATATTTCTAGGAACCAAAATTTAAATAAACTATATGGAGATTGTGTGCTTAATGTCAATAGAATTCTACCGACAGAATTCTATCAAGCTGATGAAATATACAGCTTTACATGATATACATGAAGTTTTACATAATATACATATAATAAATTATGCATGAGCATCTCAAAACACACAATACTCAGGAACAAACTGGTGTGCAAGAGAGGATGCTTTCCCCTCCCAAAACAGACAGTATAGTTTTGAATGGACTCTTACCTCACTGATATTTGCATCAGTTATTTGCCCTTGCCTACTCATTAGTTTAATCAGTTTATCCTTTATATTGGGTGGCAAGGGCTTAATATCTGCAGAGTATCTGGACAAGTTCTTTGTCAAACACTGAAGGCATCTGAAATAAAGAAAAGTTACAGTACAGTCAAAAAGAGACATTACATAGTAGAACTAGAACAATCAAGCCATAAATTGTTATCTTCTGCATCCAGCTATGGTCCCCTCAGACCTTATCAGTTTCAGCTGTTCCATGTTGCCATTGATTCAGCTATTGCCCTTTGGGGTCAAGCATCCTTCATGCTTATGTGAAGCTGTTCCCTAAGCAGCTGAAGGCAAAAATCAGCCCCTCAACCATTTTTTTCTGTGCCTTTCTCAAGCTGTCTCCAAAATTCGCAGTTGCAGTGTGAGCTGTTCAGCATCTGATCTGGTTGAAAATCCCCTTGACTAAAACTCTGAGGACACAGAAACAACAGTGCCAGGATAAGTGGCTGAGTGCAGGGTGCAGCAGCAGCCTGGAGTAATGCCAAATTAAATTTAGCATAAAACCACAGCTCTGGAGTCCCCACAGGCAACTGGTTTTGCAACAAAACCTTGTCTGGCATCAGAATGCCACCAAACTGCAGGAAACTAAAATCACACCAAATAAAAGCTTTAAAGAGGTCAAAATATTAATGCTTTATAATCTGAAGGGTAGCACAGACTTAAGGCAGGAAAGGAGCAAGATTTCCAGCATGGAGTCAAGTTAAAAAAAACCACTGAAGTTCATACTGAATCAAAGGTTTAAAAGAATTTAGAAGCTAAGAATGTAGTTACCAAGACAGAAGCAATATATTTTGATTCAGGGTTTAGCAAGAGGAATAGAAACTATGTAGATGGTTAATTATTACCAGATGGACCTAGGTAGAGCTAAGACAATATATTACTTGCTTGACTTAGTTGTGTTTGTAGAAGGAGACAGGAAAGATGAGCTATTGTAAAGATGAAGAAACCGTAACTACACCTGGGCCCAAAACCAGCCAGAACCAGGCTGGGGAGCTTGGACCATGTCCAAGGGTCCAGAGAACCTGCCAGCAATCCTTGACTTCATCTTAGGAGACCACTGACCCATTTCAAAACCCACTGACTCATTTTGAGGAACAACTTTGAACTCATTTTAATATGAAGTGGGGGTATGCAAGGTTAGGTAATGCATATATATAGGTATAGTGAATAATTATATGAATACATAAGATTTTTGTGGATAAAAAGAGGGCAAGAGCCCCATGGATTTTGCACATGCCTTTGGAGATTACTCATGGTGTGCTTGGTGTTTGTAACAAACATACACTTTCTAACTTTAACTAAAGTTGGAGAGTCTTTGTCTGCACATCAGTACAGTGCAGGAAAAGCACCTCGAGCAGGTCACTGCAGAGAACACTGTAGGCAGGAGACATTTCTAGCAGAACTTGGGCAGTCAAACCCAGGCCTTGCCTGCAGAGACCCGTATATACCCAAGCACACACCAGGATCAGCTTTAACTCATTCCTCCAGAGATATGCAAGCATTCCATGCCTTCACGGAAACCTCAGTGACTGCTGGATGAACTTGACTGACTGACCAACAGAGAAGCCTGTACCAAGCTCTGTCTCCGTACATCCAGGTTACACCATCCACATTCTCTGTTTTGAGATTAAACAGCTTATCTATATACAACATTCCTCAACTTGACTTCAAAAATTAAGAAAATTGTTTCCCTTTTAAAAATAAAAAAAATCTTATCAAAGATAATAAACACACCATTTATTATCATCTCTGAAGACCACAAATGTGAACCTGCTCACAGGCAGGATCTGTGCAACATGGTGAGCAGAAAGGAGGGGCTTGTCTCACTAATGTAGCTTCAAAAGGGGCCTGTAAATCTAAACCAACTACTTAGTTCAAATTTGAAGAAAAGACCCCACACCCAGCACAGATACATGGAAATCAATGTGAGCGATGCCAACTGTCTCTTACCATGGCATATTAAATTTAGCTTGAATGGCTATTAAGATTAATCATGTTTTTTTCAAAAAGCTGGTTTATATTAGCACGGTACAATACTGATCTGCAATTTAAAGAATTATTCATTAAATTATAAAGGTTTTCACAGTAATTCTACTGTATAGGAAACTATAGGACACTTATTGGCCGCACCATAGTAACTATAATCTTATCTTTAGTGCTGTAAGGTACAAATAATAACCTAAGTGTACACTTTGCTAGCTATTTTCCTTTTATCTTTCAAATGAAATATTTTATTCCTGTGCTGTTTCTAACTTCCTCCGGAACACAAAGGAATTTGACAGATAACACAGAGAATAAAAATTTTCAGTTCTCCTTCGAGTTGCAAGATAGAGCTTAAAGACTAAGTAGCAACTTAGATAATAAAAAAGTAGACACACAGGATGCTAAACATAGCTGGAACCAGTGGATAAACAGATAATGAGGAATATAGCGGCTTCTGTGCCGAAGTTATGTAACAAGAAGCAACAGAGCATGCCCTAAGAGAAGTTCAAGGCAAAATCATCCTTTGCAACACTGGGGACACTTGGTGACCACCAGAGAACCCTACAGATGACCCTCTAGGACCACAAAAGGACTTCCAGTAAGAAGTGGATGTATGCAAATTAGTTCCAGGAAAGTGATATTTACGTATTAGCCAGGAAGTACGCTTTAAAGAATACATAGGAGCACTATGGAATAAACATCTTGTAAAGTGTCCCGATATACTCGCTTAGAGGAAAGATCCTCCAGATGTGTCCAGCTATGCAATAAAGAATGCCTGCTTTCTAATGCTTCAAATTGTGTTAGAAAATTTGTTTTCTAGCCAACAATTTGTTTTCGGTATCAACATGGAGAAAAACTCAGAGTAACACACCATTCACTGGATTCTCTAGGGCCAGGTGAAGCCAGGGATCCTCAGCCGTCCCTCCACACCCGGATCTGTCAAGGATCATCCTGTTACCTCCCTGCCAAATCTCGTCATCCCTGTCACCTGCCCTGTAACTCCTCCCAAAGGGGCACCTCTGACAATCCCTGCAGCCCCCGAAGGCTGCCAAGCCCTGCCAGCACCCACACTGGCTGCACCCCCTCCTCCACCGCCGCCTCAGGCCTGCCGAGCCCCGTCCCCTTCCCAGTCCCCGGGCCCGGCCCCCTGGCGGGGCGGGCGGGCGGNCCCGCTGTGGAGCGCCTCGGCGGGGCTCAGGGAGCCCTCTGAAGCGGCCTGAAACACCCCGCAGCAAAAAAAGGGGGTTCCTACTACCCATTTCCAGAACTTAATAGTTAGGAGAAAATGTTTTCCCAAGCCTGGAAGAAGTACAGGGGAGACTGGGAGCCTTCAGGCAAGGGCCACAGTGGTTTTAAGGGCCCTCTCCCTCCTTGCTGCTGTCAGCGGAGGTATTCCACATCACCAGGTTTCCTATTACCGCCATCCATCATCTGTCAGCTGTTTCGTCCTGCAATTAATTTCGTCTTTGTTTTTGATTTTCTTTGGGTTTTTTGTGTGGTTTTTTTATTTGTTTGTTTGTTTTTGTTTTCTTTCCTTTTTACATATCTAAATGGTGTGGTATAAATTGAGACCACACATTCCTTGGAAGCTGGCAGCATTATGAGTATATAAACACTGCATCCTCATTGTGAGAAACGATGCTCACTCTTTAAAATTTTTAAAAGTTTAATAATGGATAAAAGGGATAAAATCCAGCAATGGGGCCCTTTGCTATCTGCCAAAAACACACCCTTAGCTTAAAACCACGTTCCTTATATACTGTTACATACAGGGGCACATGCATATTTGTAAGAGTTTATACATATTCTAATATTCCTTCGAGTTTAGATGTTTTTTTGCTTGGTTTTAGCCTTTGACTTGTCTCCATGCCATCTTGTAGATTAAACCAATATATTTTATTTCTTCTGGTTCCACCCTATTGTTTTTAAATTCCCTGATAATGAGGAGTCAGTAAATTGGGTTCTGTTTTTTGTCACTGTTATCTTATCACTCCGATAGTCTACAAATGCAAGGAACTACCTAATGCTCTTACACCATTCTCTTGAGTTAGCCACATAAAAATATTTTAACATCACATAGTCTCTATTTTAGTATTATGCTACGGCCTAAGATATATTTATCAAATTATTATTTACTATTTATATAAGCTACATGGTACATACATAAACTCACAGATTATACTATATCAAGAAGCAATTAAAAGGAAATATAAATTGTACTATATCAATATCTTCGTGATTAATAATGATATGCAAAAGCTAATACATAAATGCAAAAGCCAATACTATATTGTCATTTACAACAATCAGCTTTGAACCCAAGACCCACCACCCACCCCTACTAAAAAGAATGTGTGATTGACTAACAGATGGAAACAGCTGTTCTCACAAAATTAACAGAAGGATCCATATCTAAGAGAAACATAGGTTCCTGATGATGCCTGATGTGAGGCTACTCCTCAAAATTTTGAGAGTTTAGTAAGGGATGATAAGGGACAGATCAATAAAGCAAAAGTAACAGTACTGGGTGACTGCAGCAGCCAGAAGCAGCCCAATTCTTTAGCAAGCCATCCTTTATACTGTTGCAGCTGCATTACTTCCCCAAATGACTCTGCACGTTTCTCAGAGCCCATTTACCACAGCTCTGCCTCAGGTTGCCACAGCATTGCAGAAGTCCACAGCTTTAGTCTCTGAGGGTCTCTCAGGGAGGCAGTCCAGGGTGGTCTTCTGATGCCACTTTAGAGGTGGTATTCTGCTTTTATGGTATCTTGTTCTCTGCCTGTGATATCTTGGTTATACATTTTGCAAGAGCAAATGTACCTTGTGATACATCTTTTGCAAGCACACTTAACACCTTGTGATAGCCTTGCTCCATGCAAAAATTTAGTTCTACTGTTCACAAAAACAATTATAATTTGCACTGTATCTACAGAAGTGGTTATGATTTATTATAATTTGCAAAAGCAAATACATAATAGCGAAAGTCAACTGTTACATAGCAGATTGTAATACCTGAAAATTTTGTGAAATCAACAGCTGAAACATCTGGATTAACAAATAAACCACAAGGATGCTGATGGATGATAACGCTCCAAGGCCAACAAAATACGCTTTGTGATTAGTTAATTAGAAATATCCATTAGTAGGTAATTGGATGATTCAAATCCTACCATTACGGTGAAAGTTATAAAACACCTTAAAGAAAAAATGCTTGTATGTGACCAGTTTGGCCGTGACACCTCATGTACATGATTAAATATTTATCCTTGCAATGCTATTCAGTCACCATGAGCCAGTTATTGAAACAAAGGTCAACAGACAAACAATTTTCATCTGTTAAAAATGCATTTATTAAGCCGGCTGAGAGAAAGCATTAGAGCCTATGCTCTTTGAAATGCTTCTCTAGAAGCATTTCTGTTCCATATAGATTTCAGTGGGTTTATACAGCATTTTTACTACATTTCCCACTTTCCTTTTTTGCTTAGTATTCAATAAGCAAGCAATTAGGTATGCATTCCATCAAGCTACTATATCTTTAACCTATTGTTGATGCAAAACCAGCCAGTCTTCCTTATCTCTTCCCTGCACAAGAGCATAGGTATATATTACACCCAGCTGCTTGTCTTTCTAGTTTACTAATTCTGTTTACTAAATTTCCTTCCCATTGTTAGCTATTCTGTTATAGTGAAATTAAAATCTTTATTTTGTTAAGTTATAGTCATGTCAGTACTTCAATTTACATGTGTTAATTACAAGCTCCTGGTTTCATTGGAAGGCCTCCCTGGAGATCTCTTTCCTGGGGTCAGGAGACATGATAAAGCTGTAGCAAACTGAGTGGTACTGACATGTTCTCTGTGCCTGGGTGACAAACCTAAACAGCACACAGGTCTGGCTGACAAGCAACCAGTTCTCTTCCTATTTTTCATGAGATTCAGTACACTTTCTCCAACAGTGAGTCTGGAAGAAGGTAGTAACATGGCTAGGGTTGCGCTAGGGGTAGGTTTACTGTTCCTCAGCTTCTCAAGTGGAAGTAATTAAATAATTACTAGCCCAGTGACTTTAACTGTCTAACCTCAGGAGCTGCTTCCAAAGTAGCTCATGAGCTGCCAAACTTCACACACCTGTGCTCAACACACACCTATGGTGTATCTCAAACTGACATCAGATTATCCTAAGGAACAGACACATGCTACTCTTGCACTGGTTTGACTGCAGGCAGCTGCAGGAAGGGCTTCAGCCACATCAGCCTGAACATGTGGGGAAACTGCACTGATAAAGCAGCAGGCTATAAGGAGTGACTCAGGAAGTGCTTGGACATAGACTCTCTGCAAAGAGTGAGGCCTCAGCTTGTGCTGGTATATGGGGTTATTCCTACCCAGGTGCAGAAGAGGATTTGCCTTGGCTGAGCTTCATCAGGTCCCTATCTGCTGCTTTCTCCAACCTGTCAATTGTCCCTATTCAGAGGGACACCGTGATGTTGCCAGATGAAAAATCATCTGTGCCTGGTGGGTTAACATGATGCTTATTCTTCAAAAATCACTGGCCTGTGGAACTGCACAATATTCATTCTGCAAGAAGAACTAGAAAGCAACCAGCCCATGTGCCAGCTTCTACCAGTTCACCAGGCAATCAGGTATCACTTTGGGCTCAACCTAAGAGACCCCCAGGACAGAACAATATGTGCACAAAGGAGTGGGGAAATATGGTAATGATTTTAAGGAAATTATTATCATATGTATGTTTATTCTGGAAAATCAATCAATATGCATGTAAAATACAGTATTTGAACAGGAGCTTTTCTTTATTCAGAATATTTATTTCTTTATGCACAATATTTCAGAGGATATAGCCCCTCATGCATCCAGCATGGAATAAAGAATATCTGCTTCTTAATACTACATTGGTGTTAAGGGTTTGTTATTTTTACCCATTTTGGGGAACATTTAGTAACATAGATCATTATTCCCAGTTTTGAATCATCTATTAACTTGTGAGCATGCACTTTGCATGTCACATTTTCAAGGTCATTAAGGAAGATGTTGAGTGATATGACCTTAGTATTGATGCAAGGAACTGGTCTTCAGCTTGTCTTTGTGCTGCTGATCCTTTGAACTCAGAAGTTGAAGCTGTTGCCAGCTGACCTCACTGTATAATTATCCAGTCCATACTGGGCTTCATAGAAACCTGATCAAGCTCAATGGAAACCTGATCTAGTTAAACATGTGCCTGCTCATTGCACGGATGTTGCACTAGTTGACCTTTAAAGATCCCTTTCAACCCAAACTGAGTTATAAGGACTAAGGCAAATAAGGCACTGAGAAACGAAATCTTTCTGTGTCTGCTTTGTAGAGTGAAGTTCTGGTTCTGTTGGATCTCAAATGGAAAAAAAAAGCACAAGATGCTTAAGAGAAAAAGGTGGCTTTAAAACTTAGTACATGTCTCCTGCAATGCTGGGAAACATGTAACGCACTAGACCAGGACAGTCGTCTCTGGTGGAGCCACTGCTGTACAGAGTTCTGTGGAGAGGTTCAATAGCCTCATTGTTCCTCACATCTTTACAGTATTCTTCCAAGTAAAACAAATCCATCCATCTCTTACTGTAACAATACCAAACATTCTAGAGGGTACACTGAGGTTTGCTGAAAGCATTACATTTTCACACATTCCCGTGGGAACAAGCCCTCACAAAGAGCACACACATTGTTAGTGGTAGCACACGTTGTATGCTCAGGTTCAGCAATCCCTCATGCTAATGTTCATCTCTGCAACCAAATCCTAGCATTAAATTCTGCCTAAGTTCTACTTGAAACCACCCACCTTACAATTCCTTTTGTGATGGCCCCCTGCAGCACTGCTTTTTACCAGGTCCCAGTCACATTCAGAGGTGGGTCATATTTTCTATTGTAGAAGCACTTCTTATTGGCCTTCACATTCCTTGACCAGATTGATTTGGTTTTCCTGACTCATCCTTGCAGAGTTAGGCAGTTTCTTATGAGTCTTCTGTGCTTATGTCCACCTCTTGTATTCCTTTTCATGCTTGAGTTCAGTCAAGCTCT